TCCAGAACTACTTCCCAAGGGACTCTCTCAACCATGGTCCAAAAGTGACCAAAGTCCTCCAAAGTCCAAGGTGGCAACTCCGCTGACTCTCCTCTGTGACTCAGTAAGGATAAAAAAATCTATCATTTCGTGATCACTTTGCCCCAGATGGCCTCCAACATTTACATCCATCAGAAGATCTTCTCTGTTAACAAACAGCAGGTCCAGGATTTTGCTGCCCCTTGTTGGCTCCTTTACCAGCTGTGTCAGGAAGTTATCTCCCATACACTCTAGGAGCCTCCAGGTCTGTTCCCTTCCTGCTGTATTATAATTCCAGCAGATGTCTGGGAAGTTGAAGTCCCCCACAAGAACAAGGGGTAGAGACCTTGAGACTTTACCCGTCTGTCTATAAAGTATCTTATCTACCTCTTTGTTCAGGCTGGGTGGAATATAGCAGACTCCCTAGATAATGTCCGTCTTATTGGCCTTCGCTTTTATTCTGATCCATAAACTCTCAACCTTACCATCACCATTACTGATTTCCATACATTCGCATTCTTTCTTAACGTAGAGAGCTACACCACCGCGTTTCCTGGTTTGCCTACCTCTTGAAAAGTTGGTAGCGATCAATCACAGCACTTCAGTTGCGTGAGTCATCCCACCACATTTCCACAATGGCAACCATATCATAGTTTTCCAACTGCACAATGGCTTCCAGCTCCTTCTGTTTGTTACCCATGCTGTGTGCATTAGTGTAAATACACGTGAGCTGGGCCACGTGTATTTGAGTGGGAGAAGCCCTAATACCCTCTTGACCACACTCGGGTGTTTCCGTAGTAACCAGCCTCACATCAACACTTAAAGGTGTGTCATCCTCCTCTTTCAGCAAGACAAAACTGTGGAATCGTACTAGCACATCCCCCTCCCACAAGCACTGGCATGTTACATACAGGCTCCGTTCTAGTGACCCTGGTTTTACACCCATCCCCCTTCATAACTAGTTTAAAGCTCAGTCAATGAGCCTTCCCAATTCCCATCGTGAAGTCCCTTTTCACTGGTAGGATAAGCTATTCTCATTGGTTGCCAGCAGGCCTGGTCTCATGTAAATTGAGCTGAGGTCAAAAAAAACCAAACCCCTGCTGGGCACACCAGGCTCAGAGACAAGTATTAATTTGTTGGCCCATGATGTTCAGTCCCTCATCATTCCCTATAACTGGAGGGATAGAGGAGAACATGAGTTGTGCTCCCGAACTCCTGACCAGTCACCCCACGGCTCTGAAGTCCTTATTTATAACCCTTAGGAAGTTCTTTCTATTTCGTCACTGCCTACCTGAAACAACAACAGAGGATAATAAACTGAGGGCCGAACTGGGGAAGGAAGTTTCCTCCTTACATCTTTAACCTGGGCCCTGGGAGGCAGCAGACCTCCCATGTGATGGAGCAGGACTTATCTCAGTGGTGCACGCAGAAGGCCAAGAGACCGTGTACACAAGAGGATACATGGAAAATTGCAGTTAAACGTAAGAAAAAGCTATTTTACGATGAAAGTAGTTAAATACTAGAATAAGTTGCCCAAAGAGGTTGTGGAGTCTCCATTTTTGGAGATGCTCAGAATCCGATCATATGCAGGCAACCTGGTCTAAATGACCCTGCTCTGGTGAGTTGGACCAGGTGATCTCCTGCTAGTCTCAACTCTTATGGTGTTCTGTGATGGTTCAGTAAGCAGGCAGCACCCTTGTAATTGATCTGTAAAAGTGCTAGAACTCTGCAATGCAGTGGAAATATGTAGCCCTACCTATGTCAGTTTGCATCTCTGGATAAGCCATAAACATATACTGCTATTAAATTGGCTGATAATGGATTAAAAAGTGCCACCAGTCACTTTGGTTTAGCATTCAAATCTTGAATGCTCTACATAAAGTTCAGAGAAATTAAAAATGAACAAAGAAGAAAGACTGCTTGCTAAAATTAGAGATGGCTTTATCCCCAAGTTCTACAGGCAACAGTAAGTAAGTCTGGCTTGTTACCTCTAAATGTTGACTAAGTATAAAAAGCCCTGTCCACCATTAAGACAAAATTCTTACTGACTCCAGTGGAATGTCACGGGAATTACCTGCACCCTCTCTACATACATTTTTGTAATTCCCACCAATGGACTTGAGGCTTTCCAGGTTCCCACTTTGTCCAAAAGCAAAGTTTTTTGTTTGTTTCAGCATAATCTGTAATTTTTTCTTCTTTATTTTTTGTAAACTTAAATTACTTCCAAACAAAAATAGTTCCAGAAACGTACCTTGGTTGTGAGATGTTTTAAACAGAACATAGGTGCAGCGTGTATCACCTACTGAAATCTAGTAAGAACATAAAATACACTGGGCTAAACAAGGAAATCTACTTCAGTGCAAATTGCCACATATAATTCCATGTAAGAAATCAACATCTGTAGTCATGCAGATAGATGAGGACCTGAAAGGATGTATCAGCTTTTCTTTCAAAATGCATTACAAATCTCTAACATGCATTAAGCCACCTGGCATATAAAATAAGGAATCGGCCTTGTCTGATTTTCCCTCATTCACAATAAAAATGTCAAGAGTATTTCATACATTAGGAGGTATTTATAACACCTCAGACATTCAAAAACCATGACCTTGTGTGGATAGAATTGATGATAAAAGTGTTTTTTCAATGATGTTTGGTTAACAGAAAAAATGAACCTTCATTGCAAAAAGCATATCCATTTTAAAGACAAAGAATGTGCCACTGAAAATCTGGTTTAGCCATAAACCCTTTGAAATCCTACTACTATTTAACACAGTCTTGTCCTGCAATTTATCAGTCACTGCTGGGAGATATTTTTTTCACTGATGGCCAAAAGAAGGAAAATCACAATGCAGTGATCGCTCCTACAGTCTTACTCTTTTCTCTTCTATGTTCTGCTGCCTCTCATTCTAATTTGTCCTTGTGCTATCACATTCTTGGAGCCTTTTTCCAGTAATTGAACATAAGCACAATACTCAAGCAATGCTCAAAACTTGGCACAATTTATTAGTTCATTATTTGCTGGCTCCAAAATAAATCTTCTATAGAATCACCTATCACACAGCAATCTGAATTAAAAAAAAACCTACACTAGCCTGCTGGAAAACAAAAGCCTGCCCTCAGATTTGCAAGGTGGGCTCACAGGATCTCACAACTGTATAGAAATTGATTTTTTTCCTGCATTATATTATGTCATATTACTTATCTAATTTAGGCAATTAATACAAAGCAAATGAAGAAACCCAGATGCAAACAAACAAGGAGATAATGAAGAATTGTCCTGTTAAAAGTGGGTTCCTGCAACAGAGCTCTTGCTCACATGTATCCACACATATTAGTGCTTAATTCCCCAATGTAAAAGGGGCGGGGGGAGGCTGGCAGTACCTTTTAGAAGAGTATTATTAGAGTATTATCTTTATTTAGAAGAGCAGATGAGAATAGAGGCCAGTCTAGTAGCAAAGCCAGAGTGTAATTACAGACAGCTTCAAAGCAGATCTAGAGTCCCCAGGGAAGACAGTGAACCTATCTGGATTCAGAAATATGCTGAAAAAGCATGCCTGGTGTCTGGAAAGCAAGCCACATGCACACTAGCCACTGATTGTATTCACGTGGGCTCAAGGCTCCAGGCAGTAATGCAGCAGCAGAATGCTGTGCAAATCTTAACTCTGCTTTACTAAAATAGGCAATCAGAGGACTGGCTATCTTCAGTTGATGCAGGTGACACTCGGGACAGATGTATACGCTAATGAGGAATTTCAGATCAGCAGGGACAAGCATTAGAACCACATTAGCTACTGCAGTACAGAGCAAAGCCCTAGTCTTAACTCAGAGACCAAGATGTACATAAGCTGTGCCTAATTCCTGACAGGGATTTGCACAGAGCAGAGTGATACCATAAGAAGATAACACATTATAATCTTCACGCATGCCTTACCATTATCAGTCACACATCATTACCTCCCTGCTCTCACACAAAGGTCTCTTGTTAAGTTTGTAACCACAACTCCCTCCTGCAAGTGAGGACATTCTCACAGACTTCAAATACAAATGTTTTTACACTCTTCAAGTAAATGTTTTCCTTACCATGCCTAGATCTTTCATCCTAACCAAAGCAGTAGCCTCTGAAACCAGAAAACATCACATGGATGCAGACAACACTTTCAGTTCTCCCTGTCTCCTAAGGACCATATGGTTAATAATGGACAAAATGCTGTAACTCTATAGAATCAGAACCTACCTGGACCTCACTTTCTTGGAGCTAGAATAAAGGAAGACAGTTGTGGCAAACCAATCCTTTTCACATTCTTCATACATCGCTGGTCTAAACCACGGGTGTTAACCTTACCAGGCTGGATATGCCACTGCATTTGCCTATGGATTCCTGCTGGCTGCTAAGAGCCAGACGCAGTATTTTTTCCCTAGATGAGAAAATGTTCTGCTCCAAAACAGAGACAAAATTCCCTTGTAGCTGTGAAAGCACAGTGAAGGAGGTAATGTTCTGCAGCAGAAAGAGAAAGGTGAAAGCCTGCCTCTCTCCTATTTATAGGGTCTCTTAGTTTCACATCCCGTGGCACATCATTCTTTTGGATGGACTCTTGAAAGGTTTATTCAATTACCGGTGTAACCTCTTACTACCTTTCACCTCAGCTCTGTACTTCTGACATTCTGCTTTGGTTGGCAAGAGTATATGAGTAAGAGCTTTCATGTAAGCACTATAGTTGCTTCAGTATCAATGACTGTGTATAAGAAAAAAGCAAACAAAAACAAATCTGTAACTATTAAATTTTGTAATCAATGCATAGCACAAGCTCTATGCATACTGGAGAAAGCATTCCTAATATTACACAACTCTCAGAACAGAGCTGTGTCTTGTGTCCCCCACAGAAAAAGTACTGATCCTTCTCCAAACCAAGGCAAACACTTGTGATTCTAATGGACGTGGAAAGAATGTGATTAGTTTGAAGATCACCTCAATCACATACCAGCTCCAAATGCAAAAAAGAAGCTCTTGTCAGGGTATTCTTCCAGCAGCTCCTTCACCCTCCTTCCCATTCGCTCATTTCTCTTGTAGATGAGCTCCTGACGGAAGTAGCTGTCTATCTCTTGGGCAGTAATACGCTCGTGGGCTGGCAGTGTAGCATTAATGAAATTTGGGACCTAAGACAGAAAGAAACAAGAAGTCCTCAAAAAAGGGCCATTTATTTCAGACAGCCAGCACACACAGGCATTTTGCTCTATCACTGAATGTGGCAATGGCTTTGTTTCTCAAAACACATCCAATAGGATAAAACTCACAGAGGGCCAAAAAACAACTCTACAGACTTACACTGATGCACAGTGCCCTTTCTCTCAACACATCCTTTCATAAGTGAGCCAAACTATTATCATTATTTCATGCAAAGTGAATAAATACTCCTAGTTTTCCACACCATTGATCCCATGTCCTGGCTGTTTGACTGAAGAAAGTATTTGTTCCTGGCTATCTTTAGCTATGTAACTCTTCCTGAAATTACCATGGGTATGACACAACTATAATTACACTCTTCTAGGAGAATTTGACTGGTTTCAGACCCTTGGGGCTGTCAAAAAAATAAGTGTGCACTCTTAACTAATTAACATAAAGATCTCAAAATTTTCCAAAAGAAGGAGGACCAGATTTTGTCAGAAAAGACAATTTAACCAGCTCTTAGTTTTCCTGTCGTTAAGGTATCTTTTCAAATGCTGTGTTCATCTCCTGGGATTCCCAGGACAGCTGTAGCTGCAACCTCTTGCAAGTAGAGAGAGTCACATGTTCTGAGTTGCAGCCATCGTGAAATCTTCCATAAGTAGCTTTGGACATTGCAATTACAGAGACTGCTAAGAAAAGGGTCTGCAAGAGGGAGCTCCTGGGAAAAAAGAGCCACTAAGCAAGGTACTTTCCTTTGCAAAGATGCAGCACCTGCTGATGCTCTGATTCATAGTCTATCACAGAAGAGTGTTTAGTCCACAATGGGACATCTACTGGTCAAGCACAAGGTCATATACAGATGACAGAGTTCTCCTTAAAAGTGTAACCTGATGGAATCTCAGGCTACTACTGTAACTCAACTGCCCTGTGTAGAGGCCTCTTACTAAGAAAAGGCCTTTGCTTCTTAAGAGACATGCATGTCTTGGCAAGAGCTGTTCTCTCCAAGACCCTCAAGGCAACGCCAGCTGTCTGCTGTCCATGACACTCCAGCAGAATAGTGATGTAGCATCTGTACGTTGTTACAGCACTAACCTCCTTTGAGAAGCCCTTTCAAATTTATGAATGAAATGCACTGTGAAGAGCTAAGCATTATTAATGACCAGGCTGCCAGCACTGGCAGGCTGAAGGATGTACAGGACAGGAAGGTAAAACACACGTGCAAAGCGCAGTGCCAGAGAAGCAAGGGTTAGTATGACGGTATTTCCAGCTCTGTAGTACTGCACCATACATATCAAAAGCCTATAGAAAAACTGATACTCCGCAGGGAGAGCTCAGATTCCAACAGACACTTTGTCAGCACTGCCAGGCTAAAGCAACATTTTCACTGAAGTGCATGAAGTACTTGCCAGGCAGTACCTCACACACATGAATAAAGAGAGGCCTGATGTTTCAGACTGAGCCTAACTAATCTAACAGCCCCAACAGGCCAAATTGGTCCCTGCTGGGCATTTTCTTGAAGTTTAAAGATCAGAGCGTTGCATTCCACTGCGCTGCTTGGGAAACAGTTTCCATAAATGAAGTCTGTGAGGCCTCTGTTTTCCTTTCCTTGACATTCAGTTAAAATCTATCTGTTTCATTCTATTTATCTTCTTTGGACTTTGTAATATGCAATCATACTCTTAGGGAAAACAGAAAAGCTTGCAACTTGCCCAGCCTTATGCAAGTGTACAAGTAAAGAGATCAATTCTCTATCACTGTTTGCACAACAGTCTGCTTCTGCTCTCCGCTGGTGCTACACTTGATCCTACCCAAGCTGGCACAGTCCCAAAGGATACCCAGGAAAATAAAGGATTAACTCATAGAGCTTTGATGCTAAAGCAAACATGACATTTGTCCACAAGAAAAAGCCAGCTGTGCCTTCACTGCTTGTGTGCGCTAAGATGGTAGTGAGCTAGTGCAGGCTCCTGGAGGAGGAGATGCAGGAAGCAGACACACTAGAGAGCCAGTCAGGTGTCTTTAGCCCCTGCCTGCAAAGGGCCTGCCTGAGGGGAGACAAGCATGAGATAGGAGTTAGCGCTATTGGGATGTGTGCATAGTACAAGGGCTGTGGTGGCAAGACTCACTTGAGAAGTGTCATGGTTGAAGATGATAGAGTTGAGGTCTCCACAGTTGTAATGCTTGATAAGATCTTCTGTCGTATAGGGGATCTGGAAACTGCCTGCTCGGAGGCTCTCCTGCTGCAAGAGAGTCTGATTCAAAGCAAAGATCACCTGGGGGAGGGGAGAGGGAGGAAAAGACAGAGTTCCTGGTGAGTTCTTGTCTGGCTCCTTGAGGTGGTCACAGACACGCAGCTGACCTCTGGGAACTTGCCAAAACTGTTCCCAGTCTGAGAACCCTAATCCACATTTCACCAACCCAGGTCTCTTCCAGGTCCACAGCTATTTGCACATCGGGTCCCACAGACCTAAGCACGGAAATAAGCACAGAACTCCATGTGGTTTTGCCTGCACTATGATTACAGGCAAAGATACAAAAAGATACAAAAGTGCAGATTGGGGTGGGAGGGCCTTCTTCATTTCTCCAGTCCTTTGAAGGAAGGGCGCTCTTGCACCCCTACTGCACAACAGTATGCCTGCCTATACAGAGCTCTAGGCGGAACTCCCTCCTATCCCCCACAACTCAAATGAGCACAGCTTGCTCTTGTTCATCCCTTCTTCCTTATCCAGAAAACACTTTTCACCCTGTCACTTGGTACATCCTCCCAACCCCCCATCCCAGGAACTGTCAGAGTGGCTGGCAGCACCATAGGCCACCACCCTCCCCACAGGCGCAGTCTGGGGACGGCAGTCCTTGGGTGATGCTCCCTCCTCCTCGCTGAGTTGCATTCCAGGAAAATGAATGCTCTCACTCTCTATGCCTCAAGCTGAGCATACACCAGAACAACAACCAGAGTAGTGTCCTACCCTTACAGGATGACAGGAGTCATCTTCAGATGTTGTTGTGCCAGTGCCACTTAGTGGCGGCCTCAGGGCCTAACCCAGTGAGCTGCCACCCCACTGCCTCATTCCACGAGCACACACAGATCATCAGCACTTGAAAGGCAAAAGAAAGCAACAAGCTTTCATGTTACCTACTAGCTTATCAACATTTATGTCTAGAGCAAGTCAGCTGAGGGATGTCTGATGAGGTCTTCAAATGCATTTCAGAATTGTTCTTGGGAGGGTTATTTTCCAAGATGAGATGACACTGTTCAGTGTGATGATGACCCTGTGGAATTCACTTTTCTTGGAGACTGGTTTCAAACACCATCCAAAGCAATATGGAACTGGAGTACCAACATGAAATTCACACATAAGTGAACACATTCTTTGCGTACGCAGATTGTGTGAACAAATCTTGGGTTTTGAGGACAGACAAGGTAGATGTAGGAACAAATGGGCACAACTCCCTCCTTCCTAGTGCAAGCCAGAAAAGTACACAGAACTTGAAATCATACTGTCTCCACTACAGCTAAACATGCCCTTGTGACTCCAAATCACTGTGTATTGAGCCAAATATGTAAAACAAAATTTAATGTTAATTCCAGAAGTGTTCTCATGAACAGTCCCATCTCACATTTTTAAAAAGGGCGAGAATTCATTCTACTGGTGCAAACTGCACCTCATTACAAAAACATCTTAAAGTGGACGCTGAGGAAAGTTACATCAAACTAACCAGTGGTGACATTGCAAAGGACATTTGCTTTATTTGGAAGACAATTAAATAAAGCCAAATGGAAATTGCTTTATTTCAAGACATGAGTTTTCATGGAGGCTGGAGTTGATTGTACTCTGAAGTCATTGTTTTCCATTTGTTTGGCTTCAGTTCCCACACAGAGAAGCTCTAATGGATGTTAATGACCAGATGAGATTCACTGAGGCAGAAGCCAAATCTACACTGAAAATGTAAGGAAGGCTTCTACAGCCAAGATTATGAGGTGACATGAGGAAAAGCTCCTATGTACAACCAGTCCAGCCAAAAACACTTCCATGAGGATGGCTTATTATGTAGGTTATTTGGATTACTGTAGCAGCAACCACTGGGATAATTTGCCATTCAAGCAATATGGTTCTTAGTAGACTGCAGCCTTTCAAACAATTACCAGATTGTTCCTGTCCACAGAATGGCAATAAGACCTGTAAAGGGTTCCTGTGCTGGTCAGGTAGCTCTGTCTCAATGTACAAAGAGAGGCTTTGCAATCTTTACAGTTTGTTTTTTAATCCAAACAGAAACCAGCAGAGGGTAGTCATCATCTGCGGAGCAAACACTAACCTTCTGGATGAGACACACAAAAAAGCAAACCTTCCTCTCTGCTGTACTCTCACAGACTGTGCTCCTGCTTTTGCTTTCTCCTGGCTGGCTGTCTGCAGGCTATACTCGGCTCCCCCACAGTTTTTCTCTACAGCCTCACTTCATGTTTTAGGGGAAACAGACTCAGACTCACCCACCTAGCCTGGAAGACAGCAACCAGGTCATTTCACAGAGGCATCTTTCTTCCTCATGCCCATTCACCAGCAATAAAAAACTTGCACACAGTAAACTGCAAATGGTTGAACTGATCTGCCTTAAGGGCGCAGTTTAAAACTGGAATTACTACCTGCAGATATGAAGGATTACTGCACACATTTACACGGGAATAGCAACAGTGCACTCCCAAAACTTTCACATTTCCAGGCCTTACTGCTGACATGACAAAAACCTTTGACCGATCTCTGGACTACAGTAAGGGTATTTTTTTCTGGTGTGCAGATGGAAAACTTCATACTGGACACATGTAGAAATCTCAAGATTGTAGCAGCTGAAGGACTTGCCCGCCCAGATAGGGAAGACTCCATGAGGTACTTCATTTTTCACATCAGAAAGCAAATGAAGTACCCAAGATCACTGGCTGAGATTCCTACACACCGCCCTTATCACAACTGCCTGGGGACACAGCAGGTTGCCCTAGACCCCACTGCACTGCTGGTCAGCTTGCACGGTGCTGTGTGCGCTGCTCTTCTTTGGTGTGAAGGACGGCCAGGTCATATTTCCCCATGAGCTACATCTTTACTCCTTTGGCTCTTGCCAGGCGTCCCATCAGTGTGCATAGCACCTGGGAGTGAAGTCAAACAACAAACACCTTGTGCTGAGGGGACTTTCTCCTTGGTGTGTGAGGGATAGAGGTCATCTTGGCTTGCTTGCTGGTAGCAGCAGCAGCCTCCCACAGCACCATCCTTAATCACACCTTGAACACTGCGACACAGAAAAGTCAAGATATGACAAATGGTCAGGAATAAAAACAGTATCAATTGCCTTGATGATTAGTCCTCCCTAATGATCTACAGTAATCTTTGCATAGTTGGAGGTCAGGAGATGCCTTTGTCAAAAATATTCTCCACAATCAGGTGGTCTGAATTGGACAGTGGCATCTGCTGAAGGGAGACCATGGCACACCCACTGAACAACTACACAGGATTACAACTTAGCATCAGTGTATGCAGAGCCTTTCAAAGGAATGTCATAGCTTCTCTTCATTTCTGCATCACACGTACCTTCCTGGAGGAAGAGTAACAGAAAGTGAAAGAAAGCTGCTGGGGTAAAGAGAGAGCTGTTAGCAGCACCAGGTGTTGCTTAAAGCCATGTCCCAAGGAGTAGGTTATCTTTGGTAAACAGTAATGGATAAACACTGTCAGGATCTCAAAGGAAAGAAGATCCCTGAGCCTTCTGTTCTTAAAGGATTTAATTTGCTAAGGTGGGTCTTGCTCATATGTTGATAGCTCTTATCTATCATTATTTCTGAAAGAAAACATAAGACATGGTACAAAGCAATCCTTAATGAAGACCACAGGCATCAACCATTTGGGACTGGATTCCAGTTTTGTTTACTAGAGGTGAAAAGCTGAAAGTCAACAGAGCATGAGCTTGGACAAATGCAACTGTCTGTCTTCCGGAATCTCAGTTTAGTTCTGGAGTCCCTTCATTCCTAATCAGTCCAAGAAATCAATATAACAACATAAAAAGAAGAAAAAGTTGGAGAAATTTTTTTCAGCTTTGCTTAGAAACTGAAACAAAAAAATTGTGCTGTGCTGAATTCTCAAACAAAGTATGTGTCTATCTTCCAATTGTCTCTTGCACTGTATTAATTCAAAAATCTTCCCTGTTTTGGAATCTGCAGAAATCACTCAACATTCGTCCTCCCTGCAAGCCTACTCTTCCTTAATTCACACTCTCCACCCCCATCCCCCCTGCATCTTTACCATACCCTGCTCCATTAAGTGTATTCATACTGGCATCAAAGCATCCCCTGAAAAGATGTATTTGGAGAACAAAAGTAACAACTTTATTATAAAGAGATTTTTTTTCCCCCTCCCACCTCCCATTTCCACTGTGATCTCTCTGTCTTCTCCCATCCCTCTCCCTTTTTGTACTGTGGAAAAAATCGATTAAGCTCTCTGGTATACATCTTGCAGCAAGCCTCATTCTCCTCCTGGAGATTTCTTCAGCTGTCAGGAGACACTTGTCCCCTTTGCTAGCATTGTTGGAGTGGCCTACTAGGCCAAGGGGGTGGAAAAAAAGGAGGTTAGAGCCCAGCAGATGCCTTTTTTGTCAAAGACAAAAGACCCCCTGCCATCCTCTCCACTTTTCAGCACTTTCATCCACACTGGATCAAAGTGCTGTTCTGCATATGAAAGGATCCTGGCATTATGCGTCTCAAATTAGCCTATCGCCATCCCGCTAGCCTCCAAGTCCTGCCAACAAAAGCGTTCACATCTGTTCCATCATTTGCCTCATCTTCTGTTTTTTCTTTCCCCTCCGCTCTCAGCTTTCGAGGCCATTCAGCCCCTTGAATTATAGTGTGGGGAGCATCTTCCTTGCCCTTCGATCGCTCAGCCGGACAATTTGCTTTTAATTGTCTTACAGAATCATGGGCTGCTTTTGGGTCCTTCCTAGCGACTAACTGCATCTATTACAGCTTCCATTCAGCCTCTTCAGCTACTTCTTTCCTCTTTCCTACCTCTTCTCAAAAGCGTGCTTCTCTCCATGCTCTTCACCTGGAGGAAACCAGTGCTCCTCTGGGCCAATGAGCCCTACTGCCCCTAATCAAAGACAGCTTCAAATCAAAGGCATCATGACTATGAAAGTCAATAATCCTCCTTTGTTATGTTAATGATCCAGCAGGCTGAGTGCTGAGAAGAAAGTGAGATTTCTTGCTCCACTGTGACACAGATTCTTAGATACCTGTTGCTGTGCC